ACGGCCGGCCAGAATGGGTGGTCTTGAAATTTAAACCACACCATCATTCCTCTTTCAACTGTAGGAGGCTCCTGTGTCAGAGCCATACTGGCAAGTTGTCCCCCTAGTTTACCACCAGCCATTTTAGCCTTGCGGATGGGATTCCTAGACATCGACTTAGCAGGAGGTCGGTGTTCTTGCAGTCCTTTTGAACAAAGTGCTGCTTGTAGCTTCCTAATTCGGTCTGCCAGAGGGAGGGAGTAACATGGACTCATGGGAGGGGGCCGGGTGGGGGCAGGGGTCCCTGAAGGAGCTGCCGCCCCTTCCATACCTGGCTTCGAGGGCCCCTCTCCAGGGTCCTCAGCATTCCCTGAGAGGGCTGAGCACAAAGAGCGGGTAGCCAGGGTCTTTGTCCAGGTGTCCTGTGCCTCTGCGTTCAGAGCTATGGGCACAGTGGGGATGATACCCGGTGGCCGGGATGGGGCAATCTGTCCATCATTAGCACATGCACCCTCCTCCAGGACTGTGGGTCGAAGGGACTTAGCTGTGGAGGCTTGTGCCTTTGCCTTGCCCTCTTTCTCACCCTCATGTCCCGACAGTGTCGGGAAATCATGGCACGTGCTGGACCTCCGTGATGCTTTTATTTGCCTTTCTGCTTGAGCATTCGCAGAGGGAGTGTGCACCTGTGATTTGTCACCGCACGAGGCATCCTCACTCTCTGCACCAACTGGCAGTGATCCTGAGGCTTCTCTCTTCCCAGCACTCCTCCAAACGACCCCTTTGTGTTTGCCATACTTTTTACGAGGGGGTCTACTTGCCAGCTGTTGAGGTACCTTCTGAGAGGGCGTACTGGTCTGCTGGTCATCAGGTTTTCTTCCTCGGCCCAGTATTTTTCTCTCATCCAGCTTCTCCAGTACCACTTTCTGGACTTTTCTGCACTCCTTTTCCTCTCCCGCTGGGGCACTGACCTTCCACTGCGCCCCTGCCGAGGANAAGCCACCGTGTAACCTAATTGTAACTAGTGCATGTGGAAGAGCATCCGCATGGGGACGTGGGTGTCATGTCAGGGATCCCGTTTCTCTCGGACCCTCTGCGGCTTCTGACATCCTTGGGCTTAAACCTAAGAAAATGCCTCATTAGTTTTTTGCCTTCCTAGAGTGACCATGCCTCCCAGTCCGTCCCAAGAAGCCTGAGGCCATCTCCTACATATCGATGCTGNGCTTGTAGCTTCCTAATTCGGTCTGCCAGACGGAGGGAGTAACATGGACTCATGGGAGGGGGCCGGGTGGGGGCAGGGGTCCCTGAAGGAGCTGCCGCCCCTTCCATGCCTGGCTTCGAGGGGCCCTCTCCAGGGTCCTCAGCATTCCCTGAGACGGCTGAGCACAAAGAGCGGGTAGCCAGGGTCTTTGTCCAGGTGTCCTGTGCCTCTGCGTTCAGAGCTATGGGCACAGTGGGGATGAGACCCGGTGGCCGGGATGGGGCAATCTGTCCATCATTAGCACATGCACCCTCCTCCAGGACTGTGGGTCGCAGGGACTTAGCTGTGGAGGCTTGTGCCTTTGCCTTGCCCTCTTTCTCACCCTCGTGTCCCGACAGTGTCGGGAAATCATGGCACGCGCTGGACCTCCGTGATGCTTTTATTTGCCTTTCTGCTTGAGCATTCGCAGAGGTAGTGTGCACCTGTGATTTGTCACCGCACGAGGCATCCTCACTCTCTGCACCAACTGGCGGTGATCCTGAGGCTTCTCTCTTCTCGGTACTCCTCCGAACGACCCCTTTGCGTTTGCCATACTTTTTACGAGGGGGTCTACTTGTCGGCTGTTGAGGTACCTTCTGGGAGGGCGTACTGGTCTGCTGGTCATCAGGTTTTCTTCCTCGGCCCAGTTTATTTCTCTCATCCAGATTCTCCAGTACCACTTTCTGGACTTTTCTGCACTCCTTTTCCTCTTCCGCTGGGGCACTGACCTTCCACTGCGCCCCTGCTGAGGAGCCCATGGATTCCATTTCAGACTTTGTTAGGGCCCTTATGTCTGTGCTTTTCACCTGGGAGGTTGTACTGGTCTGCTGGTCATCTGGTTTTCTTCCTCGGCCCAGTTTTGGTCTCTCATCCAGCCTTTGCCCAGTTTTGTTCTCTCATCCAGCCTTTCCAGTACCACTTTCAGGACTCTTCTGCACCCCCTTTCCTCTCCCTCTGGGGCATTGACCTTCCACTGCGCCCCTGCCGAGGAGCCCATGACTTCTGTTTCAGACTTTGTTAGGGCCAATATGTCTGTGCTTTTCACCTGGGAGGTTGTACGGGTCTGCTGATCATCTGTTTTTCTTCCTCGGCCCAGTTTTGTTCTCTCATCCAGCTTCTCCACTACCACTTTCAGGACTCTTCTGCACCCCCTTTCCTCTCCCTCTGGGGCATCGACCTCCACTGCGCCCCTGCCGATGAGCCCATGCCTTCCTTTTCAGACTTCGTCAGGGCCGTTATGTCTGTGCTTTTCACTTTAATCGTTTCATTTCCTGAGAGGTGATGATGAGGGGCGGAGGTATCTGGCTGTCATTCCCACTGCTGAGTCTGGTCTTCCCCCAAATCCCTTTCCCTAAAACGCCTCCTTTGACTCCGGAACGCGAAGCGTTCCCAGCTTGCATGGGTTGTCCTCCTCCACCTGGTTCTCCCTGAGACGCTTGTACACGTGTTTTCAGTGGAAAGACCTGGAGGAGACTGGAATAGGGAAAAGGAAAAGAAGAACCGTATCAGGAAAGAATTCCTTTTGTGAAACTAGAAGCACTATGCTCAAGGAGAATGACGAGATAAAACAATGTATTAAAAAAGTGGGCCTTAGACCGAGGGGAAGATGAGTGGCTAGCATTTTGGGAAAAATATGGAATGTGCTGGAGGAGTTCTATGACAGTCCGAAGCCACCGTGTAACCTAATTGTAACTAGTGCATGTGGAAGAGCATCCACATGGGGACGTGGGTGTCATGTCAGGGATCCCGTTTCTCTCTCTTGGACCCTCTGCGGCTTCTGACATCCTTGGGCTTAAACCTAAGAAAATGCCTCATTAGTTTTTTGCCTTCCTAGGGTGACCATGCCTCCCTGTCCGTCCCAAGAAGCCTGAGGCCATCTCCTACATATCGATGCTGGAAGCCAGCCCCATGTCATGTTCAAGAGCATGACTCAGAATCCAGAGGTCTGTGAGGTCATCCTGATGATTCCTGGCTGTTATCGTTAATAGGGATTGCTGCAGACACCAGTCATTGGCTGCGACCTGCACCTCTACGCTGTGGTGCAAAACTCTTGTCTCCCAACACCAAAGCTGTGATGTTGGCTATGAAGACATGTGTGTATAGAGTGAGGTGCAAAGATGATCGTACCCCCAAATGTCAACATGAGATGGCTGCGAGTGAATTGGGAAGTCTTACCGAACGTCACGTGGACGGAGGCTGGTCTGGTTCTGTGAGCTAGATCTCTTGTTTCTCACATTCCAACAGCTTGTCCGCACACCCTTTACCCAGGTGCGTGCATCTGAAGGGCACTGTTCTGTGGCCACTAGTGTGGATACTCAGTACCTATGTACCATGTTCTCATGCTAATCTGGAAAATTCAAAAGAGGAAGCAACGTGAGCCAATGAAGTGTGGAAAGAATGATCCCGTTCCCTTCACCAACTCTGGGATGCATGCCTTTTTGAAACAGAGCTGATATCTGAATCCCATCCATAATGTAGATGCCATCTTTATTTTCCTTCCCTTGCATTCCAAAATATTTCCACAGTATGCTGCTTGGCGTATGCTAGACTCTCCCTGCGTCAGAACAGGGGGAAACAGTGCTTTGGGGGTCGCATATGCCATGGACACATGGATTTAACATTAGTCGTGTGTTTGTGACCATCTGTGTGAGTGTAACGAAAATGGGGTTTTTGACGTTATTGTGTTTTTCTGATTCTCTAATCACATTGAATGAGCTTGCGAGAACACGACATGCATAGAAAGATGTGTACAGGGGCTGGCACCTTACAGATGCTCACTCTGAGGACGATGGTGTATGTGCTTCCAGCGCACTACCTATGCCTCCATGTTCATGTGCAAGCACGTACTGTGTTACACTACAGTTGCTAACATGAGAGCATAATTGGATATATTTCCTAGTTAATGTCCATTCTCCTATGTCATTTCCGCGAGTCTCGTTACGCCAAAATTTTCCTGATATTTCCAAACTCTCATGGAATTTCCGACATTACAGGAATGTGTTCTGCAGAAGCTGCAATTGTTTTATCCGTCCTACTTTTCCTATCTTTCCACCCCCAATACTCCGTTCATATGTCCTAGTTTTCTCTATACGTCGTCCAAATAAGTGTCATCACTGTTTTCTGCACTTTACCTGGTGCAGTATTGACTTCACATAGTATGTTTTGTGATGCGAAACTTCTCTCCTTAACAAAGGAGTGTATGTATATCTTTGTTCACGAACACTGCTCGGCATAACAGGAAATGTGTCACGATGATGAAATACACGTACCTTGGGGACGACAATCTGCACAGAATCTTCCCTGAACGAGGGTGCTCACTCAAGGGTGCTGGGCTCTCAAGCCCAGGGTTCACCTGAGAACACACAACTACAGGAGGAAGGAATAACAGGTGACTCGACCGCTTTGGTCTGCCCTCAGCTGGACCTGCTAGACCCTCTTAGAAAACAGGTGTGATAGAGCACCCTCAAGCGTGACCACCCACACCCCAAAACACAAGCACGCACTCTTTCTCCCACTCGCACACACACTCTCACGCCCAGATACATGGAGATGTTAGTAACCCAAGATGCCTGGCGTGGAAACCTACAATCCAGCTCGCTGTCTGTACACATCCCCGATGTAGTTGCTTCCAATAGGAATGCAACTTTGCGTTCCGTTTAGTTCCTCGTTTTGAAAGCACACACGGAAAAATCTAAAATGATCTTCAAAATTGACAAAGAATGAGCATAGTAAGCATCAGTAATCCAATCACCCAGGAATTCTTGATGCAATCACGTGAGTCCATGCGTTCCAGGATTTTTATACATACAGATATATATATTTATAGATATAGTTCTCTGAATCCCTTTTCAACGTATGCAACAAATATATCTTTATAACACAGTCAGAACACCTTAAGAATTGTACAGCCTCCCTGGATATTATTCATTACTCACATTTGGCTGCTCTTTTGCAGTGTGAAACCTTTTCAGAGAACACTTTCAATAGATACAAAACGGCAATCTCAGTGATTTTTCTGATTACAAATTCTGATGCTTCCTTAACAGACACAATCAGAAGGGAAGTGTTTTAAATCAAAACAGTACATACTCCTCTCACCAAACGCTTTGGGCCATGGCCTGAAGAGCTTCTATCAAGGGTCTGCATAGAGTCTTCATGAAAATTTACGTTCCTGTTTTGTCCTAATGGGAATATGGCTCTCTTCCCTCCCTCTGAAGAGACAGGTAGGTAAGTTAGGCAGCCAGATAGGTAAATAGATGGATGGTAGTAAGGTGGATGGTGTACAGTTAGATACATAGATACGTAAAGGCAGAGCGACACAGAAATCGACATAGAGGTAGATGGTGATACATAAAGACAGATGAATATAGAGATAGAAAAAGACGGATAATATGCAGTAGATAGACCGTGGTAGGTAGATGTACGGAATGAAAAGGAATGATTAGTAGAAGACACATAGATGAGAGTTAGGGACAAAGATACATGGATACAGAAGTAGACATATATAAATATCCTCATCTCGAAAATTGACGGTTGAGAGATATAAAGAATGGCAAAATAGACTGACAGATGAACAGCTAGACAGATATAGCTACCAACGGAGATAGAGATAGATAAAGATAGGGAGATGATAAACAGGTGAGAGAAGGATATAGATAGATAGATGCATAGAGATACATAAATACACGTAGATGAAGATAATCAAATATTAAACTTTTCTTACTCCCCAGGAACATGTGAGAACATTAGAACCTCGATAGCAGCAGAATAAGTTGGTAAATTGATGCCAGGATCTAGGAGGGCTTGGTGTGAAAATGAGTCCAGTATTTTGGTGCGACGTCAAAGCAAAAACTGCCTGCAGAGTGAGAATACGCAGATGACAACAAAAGAGAAATACTTTCTACATAGAGACTCCACAATCTGTAACGTCAGAGTCAAATTCAAATCACCAAGAAGTAGTGTTTCCAAAGAGAGTAGCGTAATCCTTCGGACCATCCCTTTTCTTCTGTTGCATCTGTTCCTTAGCAGAGGAGTGAAAGAACAAGATAACAATGAGCATTGACTTCTCCAGTCGACAACCGTGATTTGGGGAAAGATTACCTTGGAAGCCCTGTCACATGGGAAGTTCTGTTACCTGCTTTCCCTAGCGAGGGCTTTATTTACACCTTAGGCGAAAACTAAATAACACAATTCTCAGGAAGTTGTCTCAAAGTGGGGCCCCTATCTCGACATGACCCCCACACGGTTCCCCAGAGGCAGGAAATTCTCTCATCTTCACATGATGCCCCCTCTACCATGACTACATGTGAATTGGAGCTTCTGTGCACCTACTGGGTTTGTGATGGCAAACCTTCCTAAAGAGACATATTTCCATAAAAAGATGAGCTGGCAGATCCCTATATTGTAATAAAGGCACAAGTTGAAAACATTTTTTTTTTTTAAATAAAGAAAACACCTTCAATCCTCTTCTTGCACCCTTCCTTTGCCAGATTCACTCCGCAGCAAGTTTCATGCATTTTTCTTAAAAAGTCTTCGGTTTCATAGGATCACCATGCATGGGTGCAATAACAGGGTGCGAATGAATGCCTTTCCATTTTTCTCTTATTTTGTTCGTTAAATTTATGCATAGCGGTCATGCCTACGTGGAGAGTGGGGTTGTTATGTACTTAATGGGTAACTGTACTCATAACAAACTGAAGAATCTTGATTGGCCCTCAGTTTATTTTCCCTGTCCCCGCCCCACAGGAATAAAAGACAGTAGACTCGTCGCCTTCCATATGATGAGCCATGATCCTCAATACAAGTACCCACATTCAAATGACCACCTCCCGGCCGTCTCCACGGGAAGCGAACCTGCCGCCCAGGTCCTGGACAGCCATGCGAGGCCGCTGCCCGGTCGCCGGCCCAGAAGCTCCTGTTGACCATCAGGGGACCAAGTGTCCGTCCTTATGGGCGGCAGGCAAGGCAGGAGGGGCAGACGTGGACGGTCCCTTCCCCGTCAGACCGCACACACGTCGCCCGTCTCCACACGCCCAGCGCCCTCGCCTGCCGGGCCCACGTCACAGACCCCAGGTGACCAAAGCCTAAGCCAGGACTTCTCCTGAGATGTCCGCTGGGCCCTCCCCGCACCCACGCCCTCATGCCCTTGGGCTGCGGGACCACGCTGACCAGCCAGTGGGCACCTCACCTGAGGAACCCTCAGGCGACTGGAGGCCTCAGTGGATTCCTCGAGCCTGCTGGCGACGTGTCTCTGAGGGCCTGGGGGCACGCGCCTGCTCAGCAGCAGCCAGCCTCCCTGATTGGCGGTGCATGAGGGAGGCAGGGCCGTGCGGAACCACGCCCCCTGCAGGCACGCCCCCCAGCGGACGGGCCGCGCAGTACCATCCTGCCTTGGCTGCGGGTGGCTTTCCAGGGCTCACTGTCCCAATGGGTGGCTCATGAAGGGAGCAGGGGAACTCCTCTTCCAGCTGATCTTCCCCAGGGCTTCGGTCAGCTGACGGGGCTTCTGGGGCAATGTGCTCTGCTGCCTGTAGGATTTCAACATCTCTCTGCCATCCCGCATTTGCCCTTTGATCCGCAACCAGGCTGCTTCCTGCAAAAGCTTCTCCCGGGGCATCCTGGGCACCCGGTGGGAGCCGGGCTTCCGAGACGCCAATCTTCTGCCGGGTGGCATCAGATCTCTGCTAGAAGGTGGCTGCACGCATTGCCTGGCTGAGAAACCTCGGCTGGGTCCCAACTTGGGATCGGACTCTTTCAACTCCTGTTCTGCCCTTGAGCCTTCCCTTCGCAGCCGCCCAGCATTTCAGGAAGACCTCGCCCAGGGAGGTGTGTGCCATCTTGAACCTCCCAACCAGCCCAGAGCAGCTTAGACTGTGCCGTACCCTGAAGTCCGTTCATTTCTTGGCTACAACACAGAAAGTTGTCCATTTCAACTTCGTTTCCAACTGTTCACATAGCTCCCCTCGATTTTCTGTTTTCATGCTTTGAATGACCGGCTGAAGGCTCTGGAGATTAGTGAATAAACGTGCTCAGCTGTATTAGGCAGGCTTCCCCAGAGAAAGGGAAAAAGAAGCACCCGGGTATATGTGTCTGTGTGTGTGCACGTTTGTGCATGTGTGATGATATGTAATATTACATTTCATATATGTTTAAGTGGTGTTATTTAATATATGTGAAATAACGTATATATGTTTTAGGTGATTTATTTTGAGGAATTAACACACGCATTGTGTGTTGGGGGGGACGAATCCATGAGGATCTTCATACAAACCTCTAACTCCTGTGAAGCCTTGACAAGTTTCAAACAAACACTCCTAATTTCTTTATGCCACATACCCAAACCCTCAAAATCCTATTAGTCCTCCCCGGTTATTTGGCCATAAGATGTACTGGGGAATGAGGCCGGCTTCGTAGTTAGACAAACTCGGGCCCTGACAGTAGGTGGTCTGGAGCAGATTTCTTCACCTCACAGGTTCTCAGAGTCCTTTTCCGCACATGAGGATAACCCCATCAAACTAGCAAAATTGTTGAGAGGATTAGATATATGAGGGGTCTTCAAAAATTTCACGGAAGGATTCTTGTTATGTTTTAGTTCTATTTTCCATGAACTCTTTCCTTATTGACTTATAATTGATTATACACATATTTGAGGTACAGAGGTGACTATCAATACCTGTGTACAATGTGTGATGATCAAATCAGGATAAATCATTACAATATGTCATCCTTATTAGCACCTATTCATCTGTTTCTCGCTTACCCTCTCCCACTCCCCATTTGCC